TTTTTTTTTCCTTTCTTTCTCATTTCCTAATAAAGGCATTTGGAGGCTATGAATTTCCCTTTGAGAATGGCTTTGGCTTCATCTGAAGCCAAAGTTTGGCTTTGTAGTGCTTTCCTTCTTGCTGAATTCTAACTATTCAGGTGTGATGTGCTACCTTTACCTGCACCAAGAACTTGTCATGCCTGACCATGACAATAAATGTATTTTGTTGTGACCTACCCATGGGTCTCCCAAAGGCCCAGGGCCACATTGCTGTCCAGGTTCTCACCCCAGGACACAGAGCAGAGCCAGAGGCATGGGGGCCGGTGGTTGTAAACAGAGTTTTATTGATGGGGAGGGGATTTGGGGAGGCAAACTCCAGAGTAGGTCCAGAACTCAGCCAGCCACGTGGCATGCATGGTCAGCTGGAGGTCAAAGGGGGGAGTTCACAAGGGGACGGATGGCTCGGGACCCTCTGACAACTCTGGAGCTGTATTTACAGGGGCGCTTGCCTGCCTCTGCTGCCCCCCCCATGCCCCTGAGCCCTTTAGATATCTGGGCTAACATTAAATTCTGGGCGGACCAGCCCCATATTTTTGCCTGGAGCCCCTCATATGCCCCCTTCCTTCTGCAGAACTGGGGTTCAAACTCCTGACCGGCACCCTGGAGGCCCCTGGCCTTCTGGAAGCCCCGGCATTGGCTCAGCCAACACCCAGGCCACTGGGGCCACTATCACACGCGCATGCGGACACACACACACACACACACACACACCACGCGCGCGCGCGCGCACTGCACACATGGCCCGCCCCCTCATACACGCAAGCAGCAGCCCTTGTGGGCACGCACACACGCGCCTCCCTCCCCTCCCCGGACCCTCGCACACGGATACAGCATGCACACACAGACACTCACACTCACACACACACACAAGCCGGGGGCCTGGGCCCAGGAGGGACCTTTGTGGGGAGGCGGCTTGGGTCCGCGGTTCTGGCCCCCCAGGTCCCTTCCCCAGGGACGCCACCCCGAGAACGGAGTTGTGCAATTGGTTAGAAAACGCCAAAGAAACCAAACCTTAAAAGGAAAACAAATTCTGCGTATCAGGTCATCTTCAATCTGAGCCCTCCCTGCCCCCCACAAACCGTCTCAGTGTTCAGCGACCTGGGTGGGGGGGGCCGAGCTCGTTGTGCTTCCGGTGACAGAGGGAGCCCCCCACGCGGGTGCGGCGGGGGGGTCTTGAGCACCCACGCGGAGCTGGGCTGGGCCTGCCGTTCCGCTGTCTCTCCTCTCCTGGGTCCGGTGGCTGGCGCTGCCAAGGAATCCAGGGCCCGGCCCTAGGGCACGGGGGGCGCAGTCCTGTCTGTGCCCCCATAGGGGAGGAGATGCGCCAAGTCCGTACTCGGTCGGATGTGGCGGCCGCGCGCACGGTCGCTGGGCCGGCCCTCGCCGCTGTTGAAAGTGTGCGTGCGGCGCAGGGCGGCGGCCGGCGGGGCGTGGGGGCCCGGCCTCCGGAGGCTGCCCGTTGGGGGTGGGCTCCAGGGCCGAGGGAGACTGTCGGCGGCTGAGGTTGGGTCCAAGGGGCCCGTGGGGGCTGACACCACGCGCCGGCGGTCTGGGCTGGCATGGGGGGTGGGCGGGAAGTCGCCGTGGGAGGTGCGGCAGGACCGGGTGGTGTAGAGGCGGGCTTCGGTGGTCAGCTCGCCCGCCGGGGGCTGCTCAGGGGCTCGGGCTGGGGCCAGCAGCAGGAGGGAAGAGGAGGTGGAGGCGGACAGCAGAGGGTGGCCGTGGTCCCAGCCACGCGGGGCCAGGGTGTGGGGATGCGGGTGCGGCGTGGGCAGGCGCTTCTGGGGCAGCGGCGTCTGCTCCGGCGTGGGCAGCAGCCCCGAGTCGAGGTCGTGGGGCACCCCCTGGAGCAGTGTGGCCTTGGTCCAGCCGTTCTGCATCAGCGGGGCCAGCAGGGCCTCCGGGGGACCCCCGGTGCCGACGACGCCCCCAGCGCTGCGGCCACCCGGGCCCGGCCCCCGACGCTCTCCCAGCCGACTGACGCTCAGTACTGCCTCCCCGCCACCGTGCGCCAGGATGGCCTCCTTGTCCTTTCTCCGGGCCAGCTCGCGCCGCTCCCGGAAGCCCACGAACCAGCCCACGCTGAAGCCGGACACGACAGCGCCCACCACAAAGGCCGCCACCGACGACGTTACCAGCAGACTGACGGACACCAGTCCCGCCCGCTCATCCGAGAGGCTGGCCCGCAGCAGCCCTGGAGGGAGGGTGGGGTCAGGCCTGAGGCTTAAACTGTCCATCCCTTCCTGGCTGTCCCTGTCCTTTCCTTTAACGGCCTTTCTCTTGACATCTTTCTGTCCCCTAGGATCTGTCTGGAATTTCAAAGCCTGTCTGTCTGTCTCTCTTCTTTGAGGGGGGTCTCTCTCTGTTCCTTATAAAGCTTGTCTCTCTGTTCCTTTAGTCTGTCTTTCTGTCAGTGTTTCTCCGAACTGTAGGGTCTGTTTGTCCTTCTCTTACTACCCCACCCTGAAGTGGGGCCAATCCATTCTCACCAGAGACCCCCAGGGGTCCCCAACTCTCCCCCCCCAGGGCAGGAGGGGGGGTCCCAGCCTGGTGTCCCCACTTACCTGTACAGTCCCCTAAGCCTGAGGTGCTGGCCCCAGAGACATCCTGTTCAAAGGTGGCTCTAGTGGAGGGAAGGGGCCACAGTCAACAGAGACCCTTCCTCACAGGCCTGAGGGTTCCGCGACGAGGGCAGGATCCCAAGTTAGGGTTGGTCATACCTGGTGCCAGGGCTGAGGAAGAAGCAGGAGCCGTCCGGGGCCCACCCACAATAGGGGTCCTGGCTGCCGATACAGTTCCTGGAGGGAGGTGGGGGACGAGTTTAGGTAACAGGGGTCCCTAACGCAGCACCAAGGTGCTGCTGGGCCATGCGCCTAGACCTTTCTCTCAATACCAACACCTTGAGTCCTTGTAACAAATCTCCCAGGTGAAGGGTTCTCACGCCCAGTTCACAGATAACACTGAGAGGTTCACGTGGTGGAGTTGGGATTGGGGCCTCCAGGAGGGTTTGGCCTTTTACTCGAGGGAGATAGGAGCCCTAGAGAGTTAGGGGGCCCAAGAGGGACGGGCCTGACTCAGGTGCTCACGGGCGCCCTCTGGCGGATGCGTGAAGAATGGGCCTCAGGATGAGGGTCACAAAAAACGCGGAGTCCGTGGTCTAGACACTGACTCCGCTATGGGTCATTATTGCAATGACAGCGGGGAGGGAGGAGGTACAAGGGGTTCACCACTGTTAAGGGCTCACACTGAACCCAGAAGTTGCCCGCAACTGCCTTTCCCTCCCATTTTGGAGACGGGAAACGCCTCCTGCCGGTCCGGGGCCTTAGGGGCTGTGTTCTGAAGTCCGTTCTCCCTGAAGCCGCCAGAGGGCGCCCGTGAGCAACGGAGTCAGGTCCGTCACTCCTGGGTTCCCACCTCCCTCGGATTAAAGCCGGAATCCTCCCAGATCACCGAACCCTGTACGTCCTGCCGGGCCCCCTCATGCTTTCCCCTCCTCCCCTGTCCCCCTCGCTCATTCATCGCTGTTTCTCCCAACTTAGGACCTTTGCTGGGCTGTGCCCTCGGTCAGGTTGGCACAGAATGCACGGGGTCGTTGATTTGAACGCGCGCTCCCCACTTCCTCATACTCAGCTCCCGTTCCCACTTTATCGCTTCAGGAGTTGGGGACACTCACTTCATGCAGCCCGAGTGCTGCTGGCAGCGGGCCACCGGTACTCGGACCACACAGCGCGGAAAGGCCGCCAGCAGGCCACCGGACACTGCGTCCAGCTCCAAGCTCAGCAACCGCCGCCCAGCCTTGCCACGGCCCGACTGTCCACACCTGGGGGCAGCAAGGCAGTGAGTCTCAGGTCCTCCCCATCTTCCCACTCGTCATCCCACTGCCCGGCCCCACCTGTCCGGTCGGTAGGTCTCGAACTCCTCCAGGAAAACACTAGGTCCGGTTGTCCCTGGGGCGCTGGCGTTGGGCTGGACGAGGAACTTGAGAACAGTGCCCTCTTCAGACGCCAGGAAGATGACAGTCTGGTTGCCCCAGGGGCCAGCACTCACGTCCACTGCCACCCGAGTTAGTTGGTGCCTGGGATCCCGAAGTGGGGGGGCTCAGGGTCAGGCCGGCCACCCCACAGAGGCACTGCCCATGGCAGGTCTCATGGGCATGGGTCACACAGATACACACAGACACAAATCAGCCAGCACACATGAACGACATAGGGACAAACATGAAGGTCACATGGTAAACACACACCTGGAACAGAGGACATGCCAAGCCCTGCCCATGAGTACTTTACAGAGAGAAATAGGCCCGTCCACTCAGGCTGTGATTGTCACTGCTCTGTCTCCTCTCCTGGGTGTCTCTCCCCTGGTCTCTCAGTCTGGTCTATCTCTGGATTGCAGTCTCTTCTCTGCTCTTTGGTTTTCGTCTCTGTCTGTAGTCTATGCCATCTCTATCCTGAATTGTATGTGTGTGTCTGGCTACCTGCCTCTCTTTCTCTCTCTCTCTCCATATTCCTCTTTCTGTGTTTTCTCTCTCCTGGTATGTGTGTCTCTCTCCAATCTTTCCCTTCTCTGTTCTCTAAATCTCTCCTTGTATGTTTCTCTCCATCTCTTCCCCATCCCCTCCCTCCCTGTCCATCTTCATCTCTCTGGATAGCCCTGTGGGCTTAGCTGTGCCTAGTGTCTGACTCCAGCTGGGTGTCCCTGGGTTAGATGGGGCAGATCAGCCACTTCCCATCTCCCCCTTGTCCCCATCTGCCCTGTCCTCCTGGCACCCACTGCTCCACCAGGACCCTGGACTCGTATGGGGACTGACCGCATCAGTGTCCGCACGATCCAGGGAGCATGGCCCAGTGAGGGTACAGCCTCATCCATGAGGGGGTGTGTCTTAACGAAGTTGAGGATCTCGTCGGGAAAGGCGCTGGAAGCGTTGTATTGCATGCCAGGAGCCGCACAGCACCCGGGTCTGGGGGGCGAGGAGTGGTCAGGATGGACTTGGGGTCCCCACAGAGCGACACTTAGCTCTGCCCTGATTCAACCAGGGCAGGGGCTGCTACATGGCTAAAAGTCTTCGGTTTTCTACATTTGTGTAATGGGTACGTCTGGGCTGTAAAACAGCTAACCCCCTGGAAGTGTTGGCCCTGGACCCTGGGGACCAGCACCTCCCCATCCACTCCCTTGACACCTGAGGGGGCTCTTACCGGGGCCGTGGCACCTGATCTTCGGGCACGGCCGTCCAGATGGACTCAGGGGACTTCTGCTCTCGGAAACGGCCTTCAAACACAGCGGCCACCTGCGTCATGTCGAAAGCGCAGACAGCGGAGCCTGGGATACTGAGGTGGGGGGGTCACATGGAAGGGTTCGGTGAGTCCCGGGGCAGGGATGATACTGCTGTGGGCACATGTGTGGAGGAACCCTTCTCCCAGAGGCTGTGAGAATAGTCTCTCTCCTTGTGCCCTCCCCCCCACTAAATCCGACCACTTTGCCCTCTGCCCAGCTTCCTAACTGAACCTTCATTCAGCTCCACAGCCAGCCCTGGTCCAGGCCCCTACTGTACCATGTCCCGGCTGGCACTCTTGCCTGTTTGAACCCGTTTCCCAGGGGGCTTACTCAAAACACAACTCTGTCCTCGTTCCTCTCTTGTTCTTTACTCTTCCATGGCTCCCTAGGACTCTCAGGATAAAGTCTTTTCACCTCCCTGCAGCCCACTATCACCTCCCTGTCATGTTCTCCACTCTCCCCCTCACTCCCTCCATCCCAACGGCAGCAGCTTTGTGTTATGACATCAGCACACCAGGATCATGCCAACATCAGGGTCAGGGTCTTTCCCCCCATCTCATCCCCATCAAAGCTGAGTTCCAATGTCCCCTCCTCCAGGAAGCCCTCCAGCCCACCCTCAAAGGCGAATCTCTAGTCCCCTATCCATCCCATTCTGATCAAAGGGTTTTGGAGGGTCAGGGTCTGGCTTTGTCCCACCATAGCCCAAGGCTGAGGCCTTTCAGGGTCTCATCTTACCCAGTCTAGAACCCGAGGATTATTGAATGACGGAATGTAACAGAAGGGAGAAGGAGAGGAAGGGATAGGAGGAGGAAAGGGACTGTGTGGCTAATTGCCTCCATGAACAGCTGCCTCCTTTGCCGTGAGGCCGGAAGAAGTGGATGGGGTCCAGCTATCATGACTGGACATTTTGATCAATGATTCTATAGACAAATTCCCATCAAAAGGGGGAAAATGTAGAACAGAATGTCAAATTCTCTGTAACCCATTATCTCAAGCCACAGAGACAGGATGAACTCCTAAACTGTTACCCTGAGATAATCCTTAAACCTTAAACCAAAACTAGTCCCTGAAGTCTTCTTTAAACCAAACAACAGTTTAGCTTCACTAGCAAAGACTGTCTGCCTTGAGCATTTTGCTGTTTTAAGAATTCTCTTTACGGGGTCAAAGGGACAACAGCCACTCGGAAGTTCAGACAGAAAGCTTGGGGGCAGGGAGTTTATGTTCACGGGGGGAGGGGAGGAACCACTCAGAAAGGGAGAGTGGGAATCCTCCCACAATTCCAAGAATGTTTCCACGTCACTCCATTGTACACGTCGAAAACTGTTGAATGGGTGTAAATTCTGTCTAACAACAGATTGAAGAAAACGAAAGCGTTCAGAATTTTTCCATCCCCATGCATCAAATGCTCCCAATCTGTTTCCATGGGCGCCTGCTGACCTGTTGCTGGGGGTAGAGAAGACTGCGAGGACCACCGGCCGGCCCCCCAGGCTGACCACGCCCGTGACCGCCTGGAGTACGTTGAAGTAGAAGTGAGAGTCTCCTGGTACAGAGCAGTTGAGGCGCGCCTTCAGGAAAGATGTCCACTGCTTCTCCAGCACACGAGGGGAGCCCCCCACGTCATTCTTGCACACACGGGCCACTCTTGACACCACTACCTGCCATGACAAGTGACAGGAAGGGGCCTGAGTCCACCAACCAGGCCACTGGGGAAGACAAAGAGGGCAGCAGTCTGTGTCATCTCCCCTCTCATTGTACTAGCGGAACCGTGAGGCCCACAATGGTGGTAAGGGCAACAAAGACCACCATAGTTGCATCCATTACTGATGGGTGGATGGGTGCTTAGGTAGGTGGATGGAGTGAGGGCGGATAGGTGGATGAATGGAAGGTAGGGTAAAAGGGTGGATGGATAAGTAGGTGGAGGGAAAGACAGATGAATGAAGGAAGGGATAAATGAATGGCAGATAGATCCATGCATGGGGGAGGAAGAGGGAGAGAGATCAGTGTACAGGCCGAAAAATGATGGTGCATAGAGGAATGAGTGGATGGGCGGTTAGATGAATAAATGAATGAATGAATGAATGAATGCACTGGAAGAGTTACCCAGTAGATCAGTAGACAGGTGATGGATGGATGGATGGATGGATGGATGGATGGATGGATACATGGGTGAATGAAGGGGTAGATAAATGGGTGGGAGGATAGACAGATAGATGAGTTGATAACAGGATGAAGGCATGGAGGGAAGAGTGGGTGGATGGGTACATGAATAAATGAATTGCAAGGACATGGTAATGGATCAAGAGATGGGTAGCCAAGTGGCTATATGGATGGATGGATGGATACATGAGTGAGTGGATGGATGAGTTGATAGTAGGTTGAATGGAATGAATGAGTAGGTTACAAGGAGAGATGAGTGGCTAGATACATGGATAGATGGATAGGTGGGTGGATGAATGAAGGGACAGATGGGTGCAGAGAAGGAGAAAGGGATAAATAGAGGACTACCTTCCATAGGTAGATGGAAGGATGAATAAATGGTTGGTTGGGTGGATGAGTGAATGGAAGAACAGGAAATGGGCAGATGGGAAACAAGGATGCATGGGAGAGTAGATGAATAGATGAATGGATTATGGAGGGATGGAGGGAGAGGAAAGATAATGGGGAGGATGAGCAGAGGGGTGTAGGTGTTGTTAGGTGCCATCCAGTCAGTTCCGATTCAGTGACCTTAGGCACAGCAGAATGAAACACTGCCCGATCCTGGGCCAACCTCACTACTGTTGCCACGCTTGAGTCCATCGATGCTGCCACTTGGCCAATCCATCTTGTTGGGGGTCTTCCTCTTTTCCTCTGACCCTCCACCTTACCAAACATGATATCCTTCTCCAGTGACTGGCTCCTTCCTGCCAATATGTCCAAAGCACGAGACACGAAGTTTGGTCATCTTGGCCTCTAAGGAGCACTCTGGCTGCACTTCTTCCAAAACGGATCTATTGGTTCTTTTGGCAGCCCATGGCACTTTCAATATTCTCCTCCAACACCATAACTCAAAAGCACCAATTCTTCTACGGTCTTCCTTATTCACTGTCCAGCTTTTGCATGCACATGAGGTTATTGAAAATACCATGGCTTGGGTGAGGCACACCTTAGTCCTCAAGCTGACATCTTTGCTCTTCAGCACTTTAAAAAAGGTCTTGTGCAGCAGATTTGCTTAATGCAATACCTCGTTTGATTTCTTGACTGTTGTTTCCATGAGTGTTGACAGTTGATCCAAGAAGAATGAAGTCCTTAGACAACTTCAATCTTTTCTCTGTTGATAAGAATGTTTATTGGTCCAGTGGTGAGGATTTTTGTTTTCCTTACATTGAGATGTAATCCATACCGAAGGTTGTGCTCTTTGATCTTCATCAGTAAACGTTTCAAGTCCTCTTCACTTTAAGCAAGCAAGGTTGTACCATCTGCATATCGCAGGTTGTTAATGAGTCTTCCTCCAATCCTGATGCCACGTTTTTCTTCATATAACCCAGCTTCTTGGATGATTTGCTCAGCATACAGGTTGAATAAGTATGGTGAAAGAACACAATCTTGTCGCACACCTTTCTTAATTTTAAACCATTCAGTGTTCCCATGTTCTGTTCGAACAACTGCCTCTTGGTCCAGGTACAGATTCCTCATGAGCACAATTAAGTGTTCTGGAATACTCATAGATGTATAAAAGCAAGTGATATGAATGAATGGGTAGATGGCTGGCTGGATGATGGATAAAACCTAGAAGATGACTGAGTAAGAGGAGGTAGATGGACAGATAAAACTCAACAGCATCAGGACTGGATCTCAGGGACATATCTTATTTCAAACCATGTCCCTTGCCCTGGTCTGTGTACGTCAAGGCTGCTCCCTAAACGTCTTCCAGCCTCACGGGTCAGATCCTGACCAGAGGGGAGGGTCCTGAGGCTCATAGGTGCAGGGCAGCACCCTAATACCCCAAGTGGATCCCCCCTGTTTTCTGTACCCACACCACTCCCCACAAGCAGAGCCTCTCAGTTCTGGGCCCCACTGCATGGGGCTCTTGGGGGGAACGGGGTCTTACCTTCTCCAGGTAGTTAAACTCCATGGCAATCTCCCGGAAGAAGAAGTAGACGTGGCTGCCCCACTCCACCGCATGGACAAAGTACGGCTCTGGGGGAGAGAAGGGTCAGAATCCAGTCTCCAAAATCCAACGTGGCCTTTTAGGCTGAGAATCTTCAGTGTAGGTAGCTACTTTTATGATAAAGGGGGAATCTAGGCTGATGATCCAAACAAAATGAAATGGACTTTTTTTTGAGGAGGTGGGTCAGAAGGTAAATGTCTGATAAACAACCACATCTATGATTTTACACCACAGAAGGACGGTGCTTCTCTACACTTGTTTTATAATTTCCTTATGGGTACCCACTTCTGGCAAGTAAAACCTAGATCCAATTTCAATCTCCCAGTTTCCAGGCTTCAAAGATGAAATGGGAGTCCCCTCCCTCCCTGTGTCCTCTGGGACTGTTACTCTGTTAGGGTCAGCACGCACTGCCCCTCCAGGCCCACCTTTGAACCACTTGGAGTCGTGTTTCACTGTGCGCAGTGTGGGCCGGTCCCCCAGGCTGCGGTAGATGACAGCATCGATGGCGAGGAAGTCAGTAACGGTGGCTGTGAAGAGCATCCCATCTGGAAGGGGGTTAAGGAGAGGAAAATGAGAGGTTATACGCTAGAGGCCAGACTGAGCCTCATCCCAGATCCCAGGCTGACTCCTGGCTGAACTCTGACCGTATCTAAGACCCAAGCCCAGGCTGAGCCCTGATCCTGGTAGATCCCTGCCCCTGGTGGAGCCCTTGTCCCCAGATTGAGCCCTTACCCTGGCTAAACTGCAGTCCCTGAGCCGAACCCCAAACTTAACTTGAGACCTGACCCTAAACTGAACCTTGACTCTGGGCTGAGCCTCAACTCTGGACTAAGCCCTGACCCCAAACCCTATTCAAGCCCCAAACCCAGGCTGAGCCCAAGCAGGGCTGAGCCTTAACCCCAACTGAAAGTTGACCCCAAGCTAAGATTCTGCCCATTTCCCAGCTGACCAAATGAAGGCCCAGCCACAGTCCAAGAGTGGAAAATGCCAAACCCTGGGCGACACTCACCAGAGAAAAGGGCAACGTTGGCGTGTTTGGGGTCATATGGGCAGCGGGCCATGCCACTGATGTTGTCCCCTAGGGGTTGTAGTGTGTCCATCTGCAGAAGGGTGCCAGGGGTGTAAGTGACAAAATTCTTGACCATGCCCACCCAGCAGCCCTCCAATCACCAACTCCAGCAGGGATTGTGATCAACCACAAACTCCTGTGTAAACTTAGTGTCAGCCTCCCTGAGTCTCAGTTTACTTATCTGTAAAATGGGTCTAAGAGTTGATGCTGTGTGTGCCTTGGAATTGATTCTGACTCATAGTCGGTCCTACGTAACAGAGAAAAACTACCCCATAGGCTTTCTTAGACTATAATCTTTATGGAAGCGGATTGTTAAGTCTTTTGCAGAGTCCCTGGTGGGTTGGTCAGCAACAGGGTGTTTAATCAACCACCTGGACTCTTTAGAGCCAATGTTACCCAATGCATTAGGGTGAGATCTGAGCTAATCCTAACTGACCCCTACCCCGACCACCTCTCTGGGTGAGGGAGTGGGAAGGATATACCCAGGAAAGCTTCCTGTAGGTGGTGACACGGGGCTGGGGCTGGCCCTGGGGCAGACTAGGTTTCTGAATGGTGGAGACTCACGCTGTAGTTGGCGCACACGGGGTTGAAGGCGTTGGAGCCGCACATGAAGAGCGTGGACTCGTCGCGAAGTAGCAGCACCTTTACGAAGTTTCGACACTCGCCCTGGGATGGAAGGGGAGAAGTGGGACTCTGTGGACTGGGCCTTAGCTGTGGGCGTGGCCAAAACGGTGATAAGGCGGGGTTAGGGCAGAAAGCCTTTCTAGAGCAGATTGGAGCTTTGTGAGGATGGTCTAGAACGGTGGGCGTGGCCACGGCAGTGGGCAGGGAGTGACTAGGGTGGAGGGCGGAGCCAGGGAAAACCTGGAGCCCCGCCCAGATGACAGGGGCCAACGACTTGGGCGTGGCCTTTTGGACGTGGTCACGTCCCAGCCTCAAAATAAGACTTGGCTGGAAGAATGGCGCGACCCAGGGCCGAGGGTGGAGCTTATAGGTAAGGCCCGGGCAGTGGGCGTGGCCACTTTCGGGCCAGGTTCTAGGAGTAGTCATGCGGACGCCGGGTGCTGGCCAGTGATGAAGGCTAAGAGATTATCAGTCTGGGGCCGCTTGGGGTTGGTGTAGCAGGAGGCCTGAGCGTGGCCGGCCCACTCACCTCCTGCTTGCCCTTCATTCGACACACGTCGATATCACTGGGGTTGGAGCGCCAGGTCAGCTTCTGGAGACAGAAAGGCTGGTGAGGGGATTGGGGTCCCAGATTGCCCTAGGACCACCGCGGGGCAGGGCTGCAGTGTCAGACGTCGCCCTTCCCGCTAGCGCCCCTTCCTTACCCGCTGGTACCGCAGCTCCGTGGCCGTGGGGGGCTCCAGCTCCACCCGGTATAGGTTGTCCCTGGGGGGGCGGGCGTCGTTAGTGAGATTGGGGGGGTGGGTCTCTGCCACCCTCCGTGTTCCATCCTCCCTGATGGAGACGCGGAGGCCGGCCGACATGTGACAAGTCTGCACACGTCAACGCCTCTGCCCAGGACAACCCCAACACTGAACACGCTCTAGCATGCTTCCTCTTACTCTAACATGCCCTAACATGCTTCCACACGTCAAATTCACCTTCTCTTCTACTCCAGCCCCAGTATCAGCCGCCTGGACCTAGTAGTCATCTGCGCTTATTTTCTGACTCCCACCCTCGCCCTGGTGTGGCGCTGTGGGCTAATGTGTCAGACTGCAAAGTCGTTTGAACTACAAGGTCAGTGGTTCAAGCTTACCAGATGCTCTTTGGAAAGCCTTTACAGGGTCGCAATGGGTCAGAATCGACTCGACAGCACTTAACAACAACCCTCACCCTCAGTCTGTTCTTCTGGATGCAGCCAGATGGCCCTCCTGGGCTCCAAACTCCCTCAGGTAAAAGCCCAGGTCCTTCCTGTGACCCACAGGACACTGCACGTCTCGCCCCATCTCCTCCCTACCGTCTCCTACTCCTCCTTCCCCCTTTTTCACTCAGCTTAAAGGAGCTCTGGTAGTGTAGTGGTTACGAATCGGGCTGCGAACCTTAAGGTCAGCGGTTCGAAACTACCAGCCTCTCCGTGGGAGAAAGATGAGGCTTTCTACTCCCGTAAAGATTTACACCCTCGGAAACCCTGTACAGGGTCGCTATGAGTCGGAACCGACTTGACGGCACTTAACAACAACAAGCCACATAGGCCTCCTCTATCCAACTCACCAGGCCTGGTCCTGCCTCAGGGCCTTTGCACAGCCTGGTCTCCCAGCCTGGACCACCCTCCCCAAAGATCTCCCCATGGTTGCCAGGTCATCTTTCAGGTCTCAACTTAACTGTCCCCTTCTCAGAGAAGCCATCCCTGTCCACCCACACAGAATCTTTTACAAGTCTGTATGAAGTTGTCTTCTCCCGCAAAGATGTAGAACCTCGGAAATCCTATACAAGGTTGCTATGAGTCAGAACCAACTCTACAGCCGTTAACTACAATTCGAGTAATGTGATTGCTGGCCATACCCACCCCCTTGGGGTACCATTTCAGGGATTTTAGACTTATCGGTTGTTCCCACCCACCAGCACAGCCTAGATGCTCCAAGCTCCAACCACACCTGGCTTTGTGCATCCTGGTGTGGCTGTTAAGGTCGGCAGTTCTAACTAACCAGTTGCTCCTTGGAAACCCTGTACAGGGTCGCTGTGAGTCGGATCCCGACTCCATGGCACTTAACAATAACAACAACAAAGCTTCAACCCAGGAATCCATATTCTCACTGCTGGGGAAAGACTGGCCCCAGCATGCACCGTCCCCTTTCCAGCACACCACCACCACTCCCCATGGCTCACCCCCAAAACTCTGCCTGATGGCCCCTTTGTTGTTGCTACGCGCTGTCGAGTTGGTTCGGACTCATAGCTACACTGTATAGGGTTTCCGAGGAGCAGCTAGTGGGTTTGAACTGCCGACCTCGTGGTTCACAGTCCAGTGCTGACCCAATAGCACCACACAAGGAGTCCCCATACCTGTCCCCAATGAACAGGGTCCTGTTGACACGCAAAACACGCTGGATGTTGAGGTCTTCAGCACCTTCTGCAGGCGTCAGGCGTCCAGGCCCGCGGCCCACGAACACGGGATAGTGGTTCAGGTCTGGGGGGGAGGGGTGAGAAGGCGTGTGAGCCAGAGCGCGGTGAGGCCTGTGTCCCCATGTGGATGACCTGAAGTCATGTCTTCTCTGGGAGCTCCCCAAAGGGGTAACAGACCCAATTGGGGAACAAGACGGTCCCTCCGAACTCCTTCTCCCCCTTCCCCTTTCTCACAGTCTCGGGGGGCCACGCTGAGCGGCGGTGGTTCCTCAGGGAAGAGGCCGTGGGAGCCCCCCAGTAGCAGCAGCAGAAGCAACAGGGCCGGACAGGGAGGGGACGCTCGCGGGGTCCGCATGGCGAGGGCGCGACAGCAAGCGGTGACACCTGCTGGCGGAAGGGGCGGGAGTTGAGAGGCAGTTTCCTACAGTTCCAGAATCTGAATCTCCACCTGCTTTTCAGTTCCCAGAAAAATCCCCCATTTGGGATAACAATTTAAAAATAACAATATGAACAATAATAATGACACTACCTAATACTTAGCTAAGGAGCTCTGGTAGCGTAGTGGTTACGAATCGGGCTGCGAACCTCACGGTCAGCGGTTCGAAACTACCAGCTGCTCCGCAGGAGAAAGATGAGGCTTTCTACTCCCGTAAAGATTTACACCCTCGGAAACCCTGTACAGGGTCGCTATGGGTCGGAACCGACTCGACGGCATTTAACAACAACAACACTTAGCTAATTATCAGAACCAGTATTTTACTTAATGATCGGAGCCACTACCCTGTACTTAGTAGAATAACTTTATGGCCAAGCAATGCTTCAAGCAAAAATGCATTTGGTTAGTAATCAGAATTTAATAATAATAATACACACAAAATCTCAAAACATGTATCTTAAAATTAAAACAACAAAAAAATCCGAAAATCAAAAGCTCTCACAGGGTCTTGGAATTTTATAAATAGTCTGAGTATTGCCTAAGTTTAGAATGGAAGACTATTTCAACAGAAGTCCCCATATTTCTGACTAAGTCCAGTCTTTCTGTCCTTTTCTTGAATAGCTCTTGAGGTGGCCTGCTTCCTGATTGTACCCCCAGGTAACTTTGGAGACTCTTCTAGGAGTACAAAATACCAGGGGGTTTCAAAAAGTTCACAGAAAAAAATCCATTATCTTTTAATTCCATGAACCGCTGAAATCTTCAAAACTCACCCCTTTGGGCTCAGCTCTCCATGCCCAAAGGCCCCCGACTCAGAGCACCCCCTACCAGAAAGGAGTGTGCAATCCAGGTTCCGGAGACACCGATTATGAAACTCCGCAACTTTGTCCTTTTGGGCAGCCTAGGGTCAAACCCTGTGCCTCAGTTTCCTTGTCCCGAGCAGCAGGGGCATCTCCAAGTCCTGCCCTGGCTCAGGATTCTGAGCCCGTGGAGGTGAAGTTGGTATGGGAACATTAGTCCTCAAGTGCCTGCCTTGGAGCATTCGGGACCAGAAAACAGGAAAGCTGTATGTGGACATCACACTAGGGGCTTCCGCTCCATGACCTGTACTTCCAGGATTTGTGACTCAGAGGATGACGCCCGGATCCCACGTGTGTGCGTGTGTGGGGCACAGCGCTGCTTCCTCAAGAGATTACTTCCCCAGTTCCTACCCTGCCCTGAAACCTCCCATGGGTCCAAAGACCTCCCGAGTCCAGGCCCCAGCCTCCGCCTGGCATTCAAGGCCCGAATGCCAAGCCAGCCTCCTCTATTTTCCTCCAGTCTCTCAACCCTGTGCTTTTAAACCCACGTTTTATCAGAATAAGATTTAACCGAAGAAATTTTAAAACAGCTTTCTTTGTGCATCATGGTTGGGGGTGGGGTTGCAAAGTCGGGTTCTGATTCTGGCTCAGCCGTTACATACTGTGTGACCCTGGACAAGTCAGCCCCTCTCTGGGCCTCAGTTTTCTCATCTGTAAAATAGGGATGGTAACTGACCTCATTGGCCTCCAGGGGTTAACATAGACCTTAGCACAAAACAGATTTTCAATTGTTATTATGTACCTTGAGTCAGTTCCGAGTCATAGTGACCCTGTATGAGATTTTCAAGGAGCGGTGGGTGGGCTTGAACCACCGACTTTGTGATTAACTGTCCAGTGCTTACCCTGCAATGCCACATCAGCATTCCGGGTACTCATCATTATTATCATTGCTGTTGTTGGCACATTAAGTACTACGGGTTGTGCTCTGCATTTCCAGGAATTACTTCACAGAACTTCCCATAAACTCTAGCAGTTACCGTGACATTTAGCCCATCTTGCTGATGGGAAAACTGAGGGTTAGACTCAGGGGTATGACCCCACTACATAGGAACTGGCAGCTGAATGGAACCCAGGGAAAAGCATATAATGGTTCTAAACAGATTAGCAGCCCCCAGCCCATTCCTTCAAGCCCCCAAGTTCAAAGATGTGCAGACTGAAGCTAGCTTTTTCTATGGATTTTCATAACTCTGTGATATAGCCGGTCAGGCTGGGAAGGGAGTTCGTTTCATCCCTTGGTCCACACTAAGGTCCCAAAGGTCCCAAAGGTCCATCCTGGGACCCCAGAGCCCAAACTGAATTTGTGTCTCTTCTCAAACCTGCTTCCTCTGCAAGGTGGACTCAGGGAGAGTCCCGGTGTTCCCAAGCTGGAGACCAACCTCACCCCTACCGCTCCTGCCCCATCCATGGTCCATGGGTCCCACTCCCTGTCCCCGAAGTCTCTCTCCTATCCATTCCTTCTCCAAGCATCCCACATCTGGCCCCCGCCTTCTATTTAGGCCCCCAGCTCCCTACTCCTGTCCTTAACACATCTTCTTCACAGACTTCAACCCTTTCCTGCTCTAAAGCAGGATTCCTCTCCTCCCCTCCCACTCCACACCTGGATTGCTGACACCGCAGGGCCGGGTTCCTTCACTGTGGGGGCCGTCCTGTACACCGTAGGATGTTGAACAGCATCCCTGGCTTCCATTCCTTTAATCCCAGTAGCTTTCATTCTTAATCATAACAATCACAAATGTCCCCAGGCATCACCCAGTGTCCCTTGGGGGCAAATTACCATCAAATGAGAAACCTCTTCTCTGGATCTCTCAAAATGAAATCTCAGCTCTTCCCTTCCCTTCCATCTCCACCTACGAGCATCTGCACATGATGTTCCCTCTGCACATGCTGCCCCCCTTTGCCTGTCCAGAACTGGGTCCTCAGGTTGCTTTTCCTTCACCTACACCACTCCTGGCTGTCTCACCCACTCTTGCGCCTTTGAACACCATCCATGTCCTGATGACTCCCACTGTCTTGTCTCCAGCTCAGACCTCCTCCAATTCCAGACTTATCCAGCACATGCAAGACTCACACTCGACATGGTATTATTGTGCCTATTCTTTCTCTCCATACCATTCCGTTTTAGTTACTATAACTTTGTTCAATGTTCTTCAAGTCAGTGTGTCTGGACAACCCTTGGCCCTCAAAGCTTCAGTATAAATTTTAGGATGAGCTTGTAAATTACAAACGCAAACAACACATAAAACAGAAACCAGTGGAGGTTTTCAGTAGAATCCTGCTGAATCTATCGACCTAATTGGACAAAAGCAGTGGCTCATGCCCTCTTCTTCTCGCCAGCCAACCTGCTCCTCTCCTATGTCCTCCTGATCTCAGTTGATGGCGGCTCCATCTTCTCAAGAGCTCAGACTAAACCTGGGAGTCATTCTCAGTTTACCAACTTCCTCTTTTACAACTTCCTCACTTACAACTCATGCACATCCTGTCCTCTGCTTTCAGAATCTATCCCAAACCCACCCACTTCCCCTTCCCCGCCCTCCTTGTTTCTACACAGTCCAGCATCACTGGCCTGGACCAGTGAAGTCCCCTCCTTCCTGGTTCTTAACTCCCACCCGCGCTCACCACATGCTGTCTTCCCTGCGGCAGCCAGAGGGCGCCCGTGAGCACCTAAGTCAAGCCCATCTCTCCTCTGCCCACAACCCTCCAGGGCTCCCACCTCCCTCATTGCAAAAGCCAAGTCCTTCCGTTGGCTCATTCGGCTGCACTCGTCCCCTCCCTACCCTCTCCTCCCTCTCTTTCCTCCTTCATCAAATTCACTTTCCTTCAGGTCTTGGCTGAAACATCACCTCCTCAGGAAAGTCCTCTTGACTCACCCCAGATGCTGTAAGCCCCAACCCCAATCAAAGCCCTTTTCTGCTCCATGGGGTCCTCAGACCAGCATCGACTGGGCGTTATTAGAAATGCAGATTCCCAGGATCCACCCAGAACTGCATCCAAAACAGGATCTTGCCAGAACAGAATGCACAATAACATCTGAGAAGCTCAGCTTAATACAGCAATCTCTTGTGGTCAATTCCCATACACAGAGCTTATGTGTTATAGAGTAGATCTCTGTAACACTTTGTAACCATTGGGGGGGATTTCTTGGTTGTCACCCTTACTTTGAATCCTGTAAGGTTGCTATGAGTTGGGATTAATTTAACGCAGTGGGTATGGATGTCATTACAGAAGCAGATTGTCAAGGCCTTCTTCCACATCTACTGTGCCTCTCAGGGACCTCCCTTAAGGCTCCAAGCTCTCCTCACTCCAATTTAAAAACTCCACTCCCATCAAATTGATTCCAACTCATAGTGAGCCTATATATGGGTTTGAGACTGTAAACCTTTACAAAGCAGACAACCTCATCTTTCTCTCAAGGAGTGGCTGGTGGGTTTGAACCACTGACATGGTTAGCAGCCCAACACCCAACCTTTTAATGTACCAGTGTTTCTAAATAAGGAATTCCCCAGGTAGAGAGTGTTCATCTGCTTCTCTGGGCTCCAGGGAGCTGCTGTCTGCAGCTTCCTCCATTCTCAGTAGCTTTCAGACCAACACAGTTTCCAAAGACCCCAATTAAGTCTGGCACTGAGTGGGCCAGCACTGTGTCTGTCCTCACTGGCCGGCAAGGGAAACTGAGGCACAGAATGAGGGCTAGACAATGAACACTACCAGCAACAAGAACCTCAGTTTGGAGGCTTGGGCTCCAAATTCACATGACCCAGGTTCAAATCCAGGAGTCCCTGGGTGGCACAAACAACTAAGCACTCAATAACTAGCACAAAGATTGGCAGTTTGAACCCACTTAGAGGTACCTTGGAAGAAAGCTCTGACAATCTGCTTCTGAAAAATCAAATCCTTGAAATCCTTATGAAGCACATGAACTCGACAGCAAGAAGCAAAAAACAACAGGTTTAAACGCCTCGGAGAATGCTTCATTGCCTGCATCACTACTGTCCACAGAGCTACAATGTGCACCACACACATATGGGGTTTTAAATGATCTAGTGGCAAGAAGCTACTGGTAGCATA